ATTCAAGTCTAGGAAACGATCTTGCAATGGATACTACCCACAAATTTCTTTTCTTTGTCAGAAGATAATCTCTCCTTTGAGATTCAATATGTTGAAATCACATATATTAGAGATCAATTGCAATCCGAACTTGTAAGAAGTGATACGCAACAAGCTCCTATGCAGAAAAAATGCAAACGCACATCAAAGAAATAGATGAGCATTCAAATAAAAAATTTAGGCATCTTCAAAAAATATTTGAAAAACTCACAACTTAACATTGAAAGGCATATAAATATTTGCTATACAGGTCTGCTAAGATATTTTGCACTTAATTTCCAAATATGATCACATCAAAAGAAGTGTTGGTTTCAGAAGATAAGATGGAATGTCAAGATAAGCTTCAAAGAATCAGAGGTTGGGATTTTACAGGAATGATCATCAGGAAGGCTGTCTTGCCTTGAAGTCCATATCTGTTAGCAGCTTTTGAAAATCATATTTTTTGCAATTTGCAGTTATATTTTATAAAATTCAATTTTTTATCAATGTATAACATTAGTTAGGAGAATGAAAAAGCAATAAAAACAAGTGTTCATGTATGGTTTAATCCTCACATGAATACATCACTTTTCTACCCAAAATCCTCTAGACACACAGTGTTTACCGTGTCAAGTTTTTAATATTCCAAGCAGGCAATGCTGGGCATGGGTTAAAACAACATCACTTGGTTAAGTCCAAGAATCTGTAAACAAAATCCAACTCTTGAAGTTAGCTTTCATCCTCACCATTTTCTTCAACCATCCAAGGAAAACGCCCACATGGCAAGAGGTCTGCTGACCTTTTTCTCTCTTATCTCAACATTCTGGAGATGATATTAGAAACTCAGCACATCATACCACGAAATAAAAGGAACATCCAAATTCCCACCACCTTTACCACTATAAGCTATCACCTAGATGTTAAACACATGCGATACTAACAATGAGGGTAGTAAGTCATATTGCTTACCAGCTTCCATCCCCACCAGTACATCATAGATTGGTAGTCTGGACACTAGCCAATAGAAGAATTGTCATAGCAACAGACCCAGATACTTTATTAAGTCTTACACCCCTGAAGTACCTAGCATGATCTTTCAAATTTGGATTCATTTCTAGCACTGAGAAATCAACCGTCTCACAATTCAAATATGTAAGATTCTACTTATATGATGATCTACTAACCCTATCAAAGTATTAGAACTTCCCTATAATTTTATTTTTCTTTTTGGAGCAAAAAGGAAATAAGATACTTTTCATTGGCTGATGCAAATTATAAAAAAAGGGAAATGACCCCCGGTGGTTACAAATTGGTGCATCAATTGAACTTAATTGACGAAACTGTACAAATACAAAAAGAAGCCACAGTTGAGGCAGGTATCTGGTAGTCTTCCAAACATTCACTGTCTACGTAATCAAATCAATAGTAAGACAAGATGATCACGAGCAGATCTGATATCTCAAACAGATATTGCAAAAAAAAAAAAAAAAAAAAAAAAAAAAAAAAAAAAAAA